ACACACACACACACACACACACCCCACCCCACATGATTCCTTTTCAGTTGTGATGCCTTCAAATATTTGCAAACGGTTAGTTTCCAAAACCTCACTTAGCCAACTATATTGCCTTACCCCTTTTTTTCTTTACCCCTCTATGGCTACGTCTATGCTACACGCCACTGGCAGCGGCGTTTTGTGTACGTGTAGCTACGCACTGCAGTGAAAAGCACGGGGAAGGGCTCCAGGAGCAAGGAGGCAATGGGACACGCCACACTGCTAAAAACAGCAGGCACGGCTTGGGTGAGAAGAGAGCCGTGTAGGATATGTACTTCAGTACATACCTTGTGTCCTTCAGGCATCTTTACTGGTCAAAGCCGTGCCTCTCCATCTACACAGCTGTGTATCTCTCGGACAGGATGTGTACATTTAGGGTGACCAGATGTCCCGATTTTATAGGGACAGTCCTGATTTTTGGGTCTTTTTCTTATATAGGCTCCTATTACCCCCCACCCCCGTCCCGATTTTTCACTTTTGCTGCCTGGTCACCCTATGTACATTGCACGCTGTTGAAAGAAGCATGCCGTGTAGACTTACCCTAAATCACTCCCTTCCTTCATGCAGCAAAGTCTCCTTCTGAATGCAACTAATTCGCTAGGATGTGGATTGGGACGATCCTTTCATAGAGGGCAATGAACGGCCATTGATATCACTCCTTGCTTACTGCTCCTCTGACTTCTTTCCCAGGCTGCGAACAATCTCATTGTTCTGGGGCGGGAGGAAGCAGGAGCCGAGAGGATATTCCAGAACAATGGGGTAAAGCTGCTGCTGCAGCTGATAGAAACCAAAAATGCGGAGATGATCCTAGCGGCCGTAAGGACCCTTTCGGGCATGTGCACTGGACACAAGGCGCGGGTAAGTCGTGTGGCTCAGAAATCCTGCCTCCGTCTCTCACTATACCCGGGGGACTCAAAGGAACCTGCTTCTCGCGATTTCAGAATGGCCATTTTTACTTCCATATCGATCTCCTCTTACTAAAAGGACAAGAAAAATACATTTTGAACTCCTATGATCTGGCTGTTCGTGGAACTGAGTCTGTTTCTAAAAGAGAAATGAAAAGCGAACCTTGCACGGAATGAAATACAGAGAAGCCAGCGGGTGAAAGTTAGCCTTTATAGGGTGCAGACTTGACAGGTTGAACCTGTGATGCTATTCTTGGACTTCGGGTTCAAAGATATCCTTCAGCATGTCACTGAGGCTGGTATAACACCGGCCCCAGTGAAATGAGGTGTATGTACATCCACAATCCTGTAGGAGGCGGCAGTGACCAACGGTGGGTTAAGCCAGGACCCTGGACTCCATGCCAAGAGGTGTGAGGTGGCCTGCTAGAGCAGTGAGATACATGGTCTCTATGAGAAGGATGGGAGGTGATTAGCCAAGACCTTCATTAGGTGAAGTCAGAGGCTGGAGGAGGAAGATGAAGGTATCTAGAAAAGCCTGAAAGTTTTGGTGGGCCATGAGCCACCTTTTAAGTTAACCCACCCGGGTGAATATTGTGGTCCTCAAATGACTCATTTAAAAAGTAGCCCTCTTTTAGACTCATGACAATCCAGACTCTACTGATAAGCAGTAAGACTTCAATATTGGAAGGTGTCATGGAGTGTGGGGGACTCAGGGCCCTGAACCCCGCACTTCCTGCGATTCACCGTGACTCTCAGCCAGCCAGTAAAACAGGAGGTTTATTAGACGACAGGCACACAGTCTAAAACAGAGCTTGTAGGTACAGAAAACAGGACCCCTAAGTCAGGTCCCTCTTGGGGGGATGGGGAGCCCAGACCCGGGTTCTGGGCTTCCCTCCGTCTTCCCAGCCAGCTCCAAACTGAAGCCCCTTCCTGCTGCCTCACCAAGCCACACCCCCGGCTCCTCCCCCAGCCTTTGTCCAGTTTCCGGGACAGAAGGTGTCACCTGGCCCCAACCCGCTCCTGGGCTCAGGTTACAAAGGGCAGCCGCCATCACTTACGTGCTAGTCGTCAAATATCATCCCTCAGTGAAGTCACACCCTTATTTCCCATCCCCATCTAGTACTGGTGCAGCACGCCAGGGAAACGGAGCCACGCCCCGTGTTAGCAGAAGACCGTAAACTAGTAAAACTCGCCTGCAACGTTACCAGGTTAATGCTCCCTACTCCGTCACAGACGGAATAAGCAGTTGAGAGATTGAGACCATATTTGTGTGGCTGCACGTGTGGGTATGTACAACCCCACTAGAGACAGCACTGTCTAGTAGTGACCAGTCAGCTTTCGCTGAGCTCCGTACATTTTATTTAGGACTAAAGCATGACAGAAAACATTGTATAAAAACAGACCGTCTACTTAGATCGGGGTGAGCAAACTTTTTGGCCCGAGGGCCACATCGGGGTTCCGAAACTGTATGGATGGCCGGGTAGGGAAGGCTGTGCCTCCCCC